TGCACTTGATTCTTTATCTCTAAGAGGGGGGTGATTATGTCTGAGGCATGGATGGAATGGGTGAGTGGAATTGTATTTGTAAAGAGACAGGTAACGGTTTGGCAAGGGGCGGGTGTTGGGCCCGGAGTGGCCACGTCCATTATCACAGTTGACAGAGTTTGAGAAACCTACCCTGGGACTCTGACCCCAGAGTCCACGAGCTTTTAAAAGTTCTGTGGCTGAGTCAGAGGACTCCAGACGCAAAGATGTAGCCTTGTACAGCTCATCTGGGGAAGGATCAGCCTGTACTGGATTCCTAAAAGGGTCCAGTCCTTAGCTTCTGGTTAAATCTTCCCTCTTTACTTCACAGGGAAGGAAACTGAATCCCAGAGAAGGCAGAGCGACCTGGCATAGGAATCTCACAGTAAGGGCTCTCTTCACAGGACCTGGGCTGTCTAATGTGGGGACGCCTTGTTCCTTGGGATGATCCTGCTCTAACTCTCCCCTGCACACATGGCTGTGCTTTTGAACCACACCTTTCTGAGCTCCTGAGGGGACCAGTGTTTGACCCCTACATCCACATGTCTACGTGATGGCGTCTGAAGTGGGGCCATGGGAGGCATTAGGGTTACCTGGTATCACTGGCGGTAAATGATACTGCTGCCCCGTGTGAGGACCCTGTAAGAAGGCTGCCATGTATAACCAGGGGGTACCCCTGCTGGAGCCTGGCCCCCCTGGACCTTGCTCCCCTAGACTTGTAGCTTTCAGGGCTGGGAGAAATAGCTGTCTCTTGTTTATGCCACCCAGTTGGTAGCATTTTGTTATGGCAACCCAAGCTGATGGGAAGAGCCATGCCTTGGGGATAGTGGTGGACACTTGGGCAGTAGCAGGGACTTCTGAGAGCTGAAGCCAGCAGCCGCATGTGCTTGAGGAACGTAGGCAGCGTGGAGGAAACCTCTAGGATGTGGGGCATGGTGTGAGCGGGAGGGGGTTTCTAGCTCCAGTGGTCAGGATGGATGATGTGCAGGGACTTTGGGGTCTAGAGAAAGGAAGTGGTCTGGAGGTGGCTGGGAAGGTGCTTCTGCAGCCGGAGTTCTCAGGAGGGAGGATCCAGCAGGGTCGAAGGTGCCTCCCACACCACCCCGTCAGCCCTTCCCTCCTAGCCTGACATCTCTGCTGCTGGCTCCGAGATGCCAGCTTTCTGACTCCTTCTCAGTAATCCTTGCCATCTTGGCATAGCACCAGGGCCCCTCTCCTGTCACATAGGATTGTGTGCACTCCTCAGCCCCTTCTCTCTGTCTCTGTTTGTCTCTGTCTCTGTCTCTCTGTCTGTCTCTGTCTGTCTCTGTCTCTCTGTCTCTATCTCTCTGTCTCTGTCTGTCTCTGTCTCTCTGTCTCTCTGTCTCTCTCTGTCTCTGTCTCTCTCTTTCTCTCGCTGTTAATCCACAAAGCATCTTCTGCAGTTAGTAGCACACACCATCGGGTTTGATTAATTAACTGTACAGAAACGAAGGGAAACCAGCGAAGGAGATAATTATGCAAAACAGACCATGTCAGGTTTACAAAACTGGCCCCTCCCCACTCTGAGCTCCAGGGACCGGGTGTTGGGGGGAGGGGGGCTTCTTCCCTTTGCATAAGAGTTGTTCAAAAGGTGGAACCCCAGGAAGTCAAGAGAGTAGGGAAGGAGAGGGTGGGGCTGGGTAGGGGTGGTATGGGGGGGGGGCGGTGCTCCAGCACGGACAGCCTGGAGGGAAGGGCTGCCAGCCACCATCAGGTACATCTGCTAAGGGAGGCCTGGACCTCTGTAAGAGGTCTCTGCTCCTCTGTAAGAGACTTCCACGAGGCTATCCAGCCCCTTCGTCTCCTCCGCCTACCTCTGTCTTCCCCCCTGCTTCATTCCTTCACTCTGGGATGGATAGACCGGAGCTTTAAGTAGGTGAGGCAGACCTGTTGGCTGTGTGTGGCCTGGTCCCTGCCAGCTGGGCAGGCAGAAGTGCTGGGAGCCAGCCACTCTCCTGACTCCTGCCCTGGGGTGGAGATATGTCACCAATGTTCTGGGCACGCGTGCCCCCTCCTGTGTGTCCATTTCTCTTAGGGGGCAGGGCACACCTTGGCCATCTTTGCTACACCCAGTATCCTGAAACGTGTTGTGACCCAGTGCCCTGCTTGCCTGGGTGACAGGGAGGCTCAGCTTAGAAAGTCCTTGCCTTTCCAGGTCTCAGAGGCTCACCTGCGGCCAGCTTCGGCGTCGCGGTAGTCCTCGATCGCCAAGCGGAGCTTGCGTCTGTGCAGGGAGCTGCACACACCCAGCCCCAACTCCAGGTCCTCGTCGCTCAGGCTGAGAAGCACCTGCTTTCAAGAGATGGACTTAGTGCCCGAAGTTGAGAGGTGGAGCAAGGAGTAGGGGGGGCCTGGCCGTGGCCCCCGGAACCCCAGGTGGGGACGCAGAAGCAGGTGGAGCTCTGAGTTTGAGGCCAGCCTGGTCTACAGAGCGTGTCCCAGGACAGCCAGGGCTACACAGAGAAACCGTATCTCAAAAAACCAAAAATAAATAAACAAAAGCCTGTTTCTAGGAGCTGTGGGATGTCTAATGTGGAGTCCCAACTCCCGTGGGACCATCTTGCTTCATCTCTCTCCTCTTGCCTGGCTGTGCCTTTCTGTCACCCACTGCTGGGCTCCTGGAGGTCCTGGGCTTAGCTACTCTTATGGACCATTGGGTGGGATACTATTTGGACCAAGATGGGTGGGACCACCACCTAGGCTAAGAACCCCCCAGTCCAGCCCTGTCCTTCTGCCAGCTAAGGAGAGGTTGGTCCCATTTTAAGGGCAAGGTGGCTTGACTACAAAGGGCTGTGATCCTCTCTAGGAAGACTGGTTTACTGGTGACCTGGGCCTGCAATAAGTTGGCCAATTTCTAGACTGTATCTCCTCTTGTCCCCAGGATAGAATGGAGACAGTCATTCCTGGGAGAGGATAGCACTCATGGGAAGGTCCAGGGGCATTCCCCAGGGCCCAAGCTGCCTACCTTGCCGCTCTTGACATTCTCTGCACAGGCCTTGACGTACATGGGCATGGCCATCACCACCTCCAGCCAGGCCTGCACTGTGCCAGCCTTCCAGTGGGACATAGGCGTGGTCCTCACCAGCTCCACGTGCTGTAGACGGTCCATCTGCTCCTCTCCCTCAGACAGGCTGAGGCTGTGCCGTGTGGGGCTGCACTGGCTGTCGGAGTCTGCAACACATGAGTACACAGAGCCTTGCTGTGGGGAGGAGCCAAATTCTTGGTGGGAGTGGGGGGACTCCAAGGCACAAAACCAAAGTGGCTCTCCCGGCGGTTTACCCATTCTCCTACTGGATGGCCTCACATCCGGGCACACACAGGAAACACTGATAGGTCTCAGAGGTCATTAAAGAAGAGGAAGAGGGAGAAATAAAGTTGGGAGGGGGGTATGTGTAGTGTGTGTGGGGAGACAGTTGAATGGGGGAGGGGGGAGGCGAATATGATCAGTAGATGTATGACACTGTCAAAGAAGTCAATCAACCAAAACAGCTCTGGTTGGCCACCCAACCCCCGTTACAAAGTCCTCTCTGCTCCCCGCAAGGAGGAAGAGACATGATATTCCAGAAAGAAATAAACCTAACGCAAAAATGTAAATCTCCCAATGCCGCCCCTAGACAGCAGCTGTTCGTATTTAGTTAAATGGTCTCCAGGAGACACAAACGCCCCCGCCCGCAGACACCCGCATGATGGCTCTGTTCTGCTAGAGGCTTTTGGTCAGACACTGTGCAGGACATTGTTCCTTCTCAGTAGAGAATTTCAGTGCAATCTTTTGAACAGTGTCAGAAGGACATTCACGGCTTATTTTACTCTGCATAGGCTTGGGGGTGGAGGAGGGGAGTGGGGGTTGTTTCCAGTTTGACCACATTATAGATACAGAGTGGCAGCGAGCACTTTGGGTAACCAGGTGATTTGTTTTCTTGGGATAGATGGGACGCGGGCTCCATCCATTAACCCATGGAAGCCTGTGCCTGGAGTAGCCTCAAACACAGAAGGAAAGGAATCCCCAAACAGGCTGGTACAGTGCTTCTGTTGCAAATGTGAAGACTTGAGTTTGATTCCCTGAACCCACATAAACAGGAAAAATGGATGGGGCTGGCCAGAGGGCTCAGTGGGCGAAGGCGCCTGCTGTCCAAGCATGACGACCTGAGTTTAACCCATGCAAAAGTGGAAGGAGACAGCTGCTCCGGTTACCCTC